GAAAAATATTTTATAATCATTTAAATGATTCTATTTTAATAATATTTTATTTTTACAAATTTATTATTTTGATTTATAAAAATTGCATAATACCATAGAAACAGAGTATTAATATATATCAGATGCATATACAAGTACATTACATGATTCTGTATATGTATGTTTTCCAAAGGATTATTATAAACATTTAGCATTTCGCTTTTTATAATCATTTATTTATAAAATTTTATAAACATAATGAAACAAATACTTTTTGTTATATTTTTATCAAAAAAATTTTAACCATTAAACATGAATGAATGAACTCCATAAACTCAATTCTATCATTTTAACGCACTTAAAGATATCTAGATGAAAGTAAACAATTCAATTTTTTTTCTAATTTAGTTAAAATTTAATTAGAAATATAACATATTTAAAAATATTAATGAAAATTACTCAAATAGTAATTAATCAGAAATTACAAAAAAAATATACATAATAGCATTAGAAATTCATGATATGGTTCTTAAAATATTATCTTGTTTTATTAAATTATATCATTATATCATTATATAAATTATATCTTTATTATTGATAAATAATTATTCATTATTTCATATAGTTTTTAGTTATGATTATATACTAAAAAAAAATGATTATCTATTTTTGTTTTATTATACAGAGTAGTTTAAATAAAATTTTAAAACTTATTTTCTCAGAAATCAAAGAAAATTTTATTGATTTTTTTTTTTTTATTTAAATGGTAGAAGAAAGCTCCAAATTTAAAGGTTTTAGAAAAAATTAAATCTTAAAAAAATTAAATCAATATTTTTATTGATTTCTGAGAAAACAAATTGTAACATTTTATTTGAACCATTCTGTATATATATATATTTCAAAATAATGTTGCAAAATATAATTATTAATCACAATGCAACATTTTACTATAAATTTAATTCAATATATATGAATCTATTTCAAGTGAATTTATTTTTTACATTACTAAAAAAGAAGTATTTTTTTTACATTAATTATTTTAATATCTGTAATAAATTTATCATATTTTATTCTTCCTTTGAAACACTTAAATCCATAACAAAAACAATATATTCTTATTGTCGTCAAAGTTTTACTATAAAATATATATTAAACACGATTTCTTAAAAATTGTTAAATATAATTATTATGCAGTCACACTGGGTTATATAAAAAGCACCCTTCATAAAATTTATACTACATGTAATGCATAAATAATTAATCTCAAATTTTGGTTTCCAAAGAATTAAATGTACGTGTATATGCTATGAAAATTAAATGAACATATACAGTACAGCATGCATATGAATGTTATGTGTCAAGTCATGTGCGTGTGTACTTGCTCATAAAATTTATCACATTAACATAATACAAACAATATGAATGAATTAAATAATAAGAATATATTTACGAAACCAGCCTTATAGTGAAATTAAATCCATAATAAGTATATTAATCGCAATCGTTACAGCACTTCCTGATCAGGTACTTAACATGCACTTGATAATGCGATATCTTGAAAAAAGAAAGAGAGAAAGAGATAGAGAGAAAGAAAAAAAAAAAGAATACTCGCTTTTTAAAAAATATTTCTATTTGTCGTACAACACATTTTACGTTTTTCTTATCAAATTAACTCATTTATGTTTTATATTTGAAATATTATTCTATTTCTTTTTTTATATAATGTGTTACATTCAATCACACATATCATGTATTACATAAAAAGATGATAACATCAAATTCAGCATCTTTTTTATCTGTTTTATATAAACCTGTTATATATTTTTTTTATATAGATAGAATAACATTCTATTGTAGATAAATTTATTCCAGTTAAAATATCAATTTTAAGTAATTTATAAGTTATTTACTTGTAATATTTAGTTTATTTGATAGAAGACAATATTTTTAATTCGTTTTTGCTGCTATTACAAAATAATAATAAATTTTTATAGTAGTAAATTTTAATTTGACTTTTTTTTCTCAATTTCATGAAAAAAATTTGTCTGTTTCATAGAAAAAATTAATTAATACGAAAAATCATAATCATAAATGAGTTAAAAGAACAAGTTTTCACTTAAAATAAATTAATAAACTTCATATAATGTTTTGACTATGCTACGCAAGTGCCCATACAATTTTTGTAAATTTTTTTTTGCGTTTAGTCTATTTTAAGTAATTATTTACACTGTTTTGTTACATTATAAAGGCTTATGCACATAATGATACAAGTTGACATAGACACAAGTCTGATTGATCTTAACTAAAAAAAATCTTAAACATAAAATAAATTTCCATATTAGTTAAATGATAATTACTGAGGGAATATCTTGGAAGTTTTATGCATATGATCATAAACTGTATCATTCTCTTTATAAATCTAATATGATTCATAAAGAGCATTAATATTTTAAAGTAAACATATTATCCCTCTATTTAATATAAGTTTAATTGTCAACATCAGTGAATTATAAAATTTTAAAAATTAAAAGGTTTATAATAAAAACGATCTTTCTGTTCTTATCTTTTTTTTTTTAGAAAAATAAAAAAATATTCTAATATCTTTAATTTTTGTTCAATAGACTTAAGTTTTCATTAACAAAACATATTATTACATAATTGCTATTGATATTATCTATAATTATTACAGATGAACTATATTTAAACAAATCATAAAGTGACCTTTATGATTGAAATTCAACAAACAAGGATCATTTGTATTATAAATCCTTCAATTGTTTACATAAATTTAAAAACGAAAAAAAATTAGCACTGTTTTTATATATATTAAAATAACAAATGAAACAAAGGTTTTCTCAGAGTTACACGACTTTTGTATTGATATGCTTTTAATTTTTTAAGCAAAAATTATTTTTATCCATATTTTTTATAACATAATATTCATTTTGTAAATCAATATTAAATCATAAATAATTCGTAATTTTTAAAACAATTTATATAAATATTTAAATAAGACAATTGCGCTTTAAATACAATTATCGTGTAAATTGAAAAGTACCCGTAACATATGCATTGTGCATTAATATTTAGCAATTAGTACGTGGATCATCCAAGAATGAAATTAATTAATGAACTCAATAATTTAGTGAAAATATTATATGAACTTTTCAAATTTAATATATGAAGAGAGAGAGAGAGAGAGAGAGAGAAGGAAAAAAAAAAAAAAAGCAATTGTTATTGCTTTTTCAAAGACAAAAATATTAAATGAATATTAGATATCTAATAAATATTTGTGCTTAGAAATCCACTTGACTAGTTGGTCATGATCCACTATGTTATTAATAAATTGTCATGACAGTGCTTTATATACAATCATGGAAGAATGACTTTTATGATATCAACCAGTCGTTAAATAATGTTCATTGAAGCAAGAAGGTACTGGCTTTCTAGCGGATTTAAAGAATACATAAAAATCATATCTTCATCATTGAGATCTTTTATATATAATGCCAACTTTCTTTAAAAATGTCTGTTGTTTTTTGCATGAAGATATCTTGTCATATCTCGAAGGAAATAGCATAATGATATATATTCTTATTAATATATTATTATTAATCTTTTAAAACTTCATTAATGAACAAAATACAAAATGAAAAATAATTATTTTTTAGAAATTCAAACATTAATTACTAATTCTCATACATACCATTCTATATTAAATATCTTTATATCTATAATTCTATTAATAATTATCTTTAAAAGTTATTAAAAAAAAATAAATTTAATGTTTTTAGATATTACATCTAGAAATTAAATATATAAAAAATAATATAAAATAGTATAAAATCAATGAGAAGTGATGTATCACATAAGCAATATGTCATATACCTCTAGTAATCAACTTTTACTAAATTATATTATCATTGGGTAATAAGAATGAAATTTCTTATATTATAAAAGGAATATATTATGTTCAATATCTATCAAATATGTGAAAGGAAGACGTTCATAGGAAAATTTAAAAAAATTTTTCATTTTATTTCTCCAAATTGCTAGACTCTATATAATTAGAATATTAATAATGTTATTAAAAATTAGAATTTTAATTTGAAAATTGGTTTAACTATCTAATTATAAACAATTTAATTGTTTAATATATAAATAAACGTGGCATTACATTATTTTATCTCTTGAAGCTCATTAAATGAGTCAGAAATTTTTAAAATAAAAAGATCTATCTTTTCCATCATTTTCATTACCAATTATAATATACTTAACTTAAAATTTTTTTACAAAATTTCTATCTATTATATAAAACACTGTACACATTTCGAAAAATTATTATGAAATATTAACACTTATTTCATACCGTTCGAAAGCCAATACACAATTTTACCATTCTAAAAAACTAAAAGATTATATTCAAAAAATATAAAAAACGTATAGAAATGAGAGAATATCAATATGTTGATGATTATTTCAAAATGAATTTGGCGTTTTCATTTATAACAATTCTTTCGAATGATAACGGCAGGTTTTTCAATGTATATTAATGGCTGGTTTTGGATGATCACATGACTTAAAATGGCTTCGTTTGCCAAAGACATTAAATACAATTGTATGCTGGACTAGCTTCGGATTACGACTTGAATAAGATTTGTGTCTATAACAAGTCGTCATAGATTTAGGCATATGCTGTAGGAGGATCAAATACAGATTAAATTTTCAATTTTTCTATTTTATAAGAAATAAGAAATATTCATTATATCGATTTAATTTATATTGTTTTCTATTTTTTTTTTATAGCTATACACATCGTATTTTTAATAGAAAGTGTAGTGTGAAAATCGATATAATTCGAACGCTATAAAAAATTAGTAAAATATATGGTTTTTTAAATATCAACAGTAAATTTATCAAATATTACAATTCGAATATAAATATATTAATTTAAAATTTAATAATCATTTATAATAATTAGATTACGCATTGTTGCGTCATTGTCGCTTCATTTTATTAACTTTCTTAATACATTTTTTATAAGTACCAAAAAGATAAAGGTACCTGTTAGATCAACCTACAGCATGTTTAATAGAACGTAACTAATTTTTAAATATTTTGTAATTTAGTATTAGTTACGTTCCATGGTCATAAGTAGTTAATAATGTTGTATTACTTCAGGTGACAAATACAATATAAAACATGTTTCTAGAAGCCTCCCATGGAAGACATTATAAAAGATATCTTTTATTATGAAATTTGACAAATTTATAGCATAAGTCATATCTTTAAACAAATATTACACATATACTTTATATTATAAGTGTTAAAAAGATCTAATATTTTATTACCTGAAATTTAAGAATTAGATCTCAATAAAACAAGTATATATATGTATAAAACTTAAGTTTATATTTAAACTTCCATTGAGAAACAGACTGAAACATGTTTATGAAATATATATAATCAATTTTTTGAAGCCCTAATATGGCCAAAAATTGTTTTTTTCAAGCTTCCGTAGATGCTATTAGGGAATTCTTGGGTGTATATGCTGTCGCATTTGGATCCAAATTTGACACTGTACACCCTGGACAGGGACTTTCATTTGAACGTATTTTTGTACCTGCAACTCGTACTTCATTATTTAATCGAAGCTTAGATGTCGTGCATGTTGGCGCAGGTCCAAATGTATCTTGTGGCATCACAGCTAAATCTTGGGCTATTTTTGCTTTTAGTATTTCAATTTCTTTTTCTTGAGATCTAATTAAACCTAATTCAAAAAAATATATTTTAATATATTTTATATTTTATATATTTACATTTTTATATTTATATATTTTATATTATTTTATATATTTATATTTTATATTTTATATTTAGTATATTTTAAAAATATTCAAATAAAAAATAATTTAATAAAAATATATTTGAAAAATCTGTATTTAAATTAATATCAAAATATTAAAAAATAATATGAAATTAAATTTTAAATTAAACTGAAATTAAATTTTACTTACTTTCTCTGATTTCTAATTGTCGCTTGGCTTCACCAAGTGCAGAAAATAAATCAAGTTTTATACGTGTTTCTGCACTTAAACTATCTTCTAAATGCGCAGTTTTATCTTGTAGTGCATTTAATGCACCAAGTAAAATTTCAGATTCTTTTGTGATTTTCCTTACAACGACGATATATCTTTTACTAGTGTGTTGCATCTAAAT